GGCCGTGGAAGAGCCCGATGCCGGTGGAGACGAGCAGCATCAGCCCGAAGACGCTGTAGTCCCAGAGGCTGAAGCTGAGCCGCTGCGGCACCCACGCCTCCAGGCCCCCATGGCCAGCATGGTGGCTGCAGGGGAGGACACCCCGCCAGGCACCTGCGGGTGAAGGGGGACGCAGCACGGGGATGTGGCACACGCAGCTAAACCAGGGCACGGCAGCACCAGCGCATCTGAGGGCAGTGAAACTGGAGGGGATGGAAACTCTGTGCAATTATTGACTGAGATTGGATGCGAGTGGAAAGGACCGAGAATGGGGCGGAGAGCAGCTGCTGCCCCATCCTATCCCCGCCAGGCACCTGCGGGTGAAGGGGGACGCAGCACGGGGATGTGGCACACGCAGCTAAACCAGGGCACGGCAGCACCAGCGCATCTGAGGGCAGTGAAACTGGAGGGGATGGAAACTCTGTGCAATTATTGACTGAGATTGGATGCGAGTGGAAAGGACCGAGAATGGGGCGGAGAGCAGCTGCTGCCCCATCCTATCTCTATTCTCATCCCAATTCCCATTCCTATCCCATCCCCATCCCAATCCAAATAATCTCCAATCCCATCCCCATCTCATCCCATCTCCATTCCTACTCCCATCCAATCTCATGCCATCCTCATCCCATCCCATCCTCATGCCATTCCCATCCTGGGAAGGTCTGTGCCAGCATTCAGCTGCCCACAAAGCCCAAGCTGCGATGGCTCCATGAGGGAATTATCCCGGATACCTCCCGGTCCAGAGCGCGGGGGGCGAGGAGAGCGGCAGCGCTGTGTCCGGCTGCTCCGGAGGACACCAGGCACAGGCTCCGTCGGCATGCGAAGGACACGGGTGGGGGGAGCGATTCCCCGCAGCCAGCGCAAACAGGGAGGGGCGAAGCCGCTGGAGGCGAATTTATCTCCAGCCGAGGGGACAAAACAAACCCAAGCTAAATCTTTACCCAGAAAAACGCAGCTCCTTCGCAGGCAGGACCGGTGCTGAGCACGGTGGGGGCTGTGCAGGACCAACCAGTGTTGGTCCTGGGCAGGCATCGAGGGGCGGCCATGCCTGAGTTCCTCCAGGCACAGGGCAGGCACAGGCTCAGGGCATCAGGGAGGGACCCTCGGGGGAAAGGACGGAGCCATGGGGGGACACAGCCATAACCCCTTCCCTCCCACACGGGGCAAACCTGGGCCATGTCGAGCGGTGACACAGCACCCTGTGTCCCAGTGGCCAACGTGGCAAGTACCAGAGCCAGCCACCAGCCCCAGGGATGGCTCTGGATGGTGGGGTATGTGGCACCTGGGTGTGGGCTGGCCCAGCTTCCTCATTCCCCAGCAAAAACACTGCTTTGTCTCATCCATCACTAGGACAGCTTTGTCCTGTGGGGATCTCCTCCCCTTGCCTCGAACCCCAGGGGTCACCGTCCCTGCCAAGGCGTTGCCGTGGGGCAGACGACGGCTCCTGGTCCCTGGGATCTGGCTCCAGCCCTGGTGGCCTTGTCCCTGGGCCAGGACCCCTCGTCCCCCTCAGCTTCGCCCCTTTGCGGAGCTGCTTGGAGTAGCAGAAAGGAGAAAAAAAACGCACGGTGGCCACCGGGCCCAGCCACATCCGCCAGTGGGTGCGTGCAACACTGCACAGCACCGGGGATGAGCACGTGGCAGCACCGGTGACACCCTTGGCACTGTGGGGCTGGGCTGACCATGGCCAAAGCAAGACCAAGGGGCTGAGCTTGTCCCATCGTGGCTGTGAGTGGGGCAGGGAGCTGGTCCCAGCCGTGGGGTGCAGGGTGGGCAGCACCCAGCCCCTCACCCCGTGCCATGGAGTGGGACAAGATGAGGACCAGGATGCCCTGGCAGAGCATCGCCTCTCCCGGTGGTACCCACAGCACCAGCGCAGCACCCATTGGGGTACCCAACGGGGTGACCAGCATGAAGAGGCGTGCCCAGGGCTCCCCACCTCTTTCCTCCCACTGTTCCCTGCACCCCAGGCTGGCTCCTGTCTGCCCCCACCCCGTACCCCCTCCTCGCCAGGAAGCCACTGCCGCGGAGGCTGCAGGCAGGAAGGAAGTCACCCAGGGGGGGTTTGACGCTCCCCTTTGCTCGCAGCCGCCTACGCAGCCCAGGAACGCCAAGCCAGCGGCACGGCCCTGCCCCAATCCCGGAGTGCACGGGCGCCGGTGAAGCCATCGGGACACCACCAGGTACCACACTGGGGGCTTCGTGGGGTCTGGTCGGGCATGGGGACGAAGCTGAGTGCCCCCTGGCCATGGCTGGGAGCAATGCAGGGCATGGGCACATGGTGAGGAGGAGCAGCCGTGGGATGGGTTTATCCATGGGGAAATGCCCCTGTGCCTCAGTTTCCCCTTTCTAGAATGACCTCACCCCAGCCCTGGAGATGCTGCAGGATTGGCTGGGGGGTTTTACCCCAGGGAGGATGATGAGGGCAATGTGTGGGGAAGGCAGGCGTGAAGCAAGGTCCTGCTCCACACGAGGGTCACACAGAGGGGGAACGGTGCCACCACCCTGGTACTAACCCATCCTGTGCTCTCAGCCCTTGCCATGGCCCCGCTGGGCGAGGAGACGCCGCTGATCGGGGAGCGCTCCTGCAGCCTTTCCTCCGCCGACACTGGCACCCTCCAGGTGTACCTGTACCACCGGGCACCCCCTTCTCACACCCCCCTTGGCACTGCCTCCCCCGGCGTCCTCACCTTCACCTGCGGCGAGTTCACGGCCGAGGAGCTCTGCGTCCGCGCCGCCAAAGCCTGCGGTGAGCACTGGGGGACTTGCTGGCAGTCCTGGCCATGGGCTGGGGGTCCTGGCCGTAGTAGAGGAGGGGTCATGGACCCGCTATCCCCCCAGGGGTGCTGCCCATCTGCCACCCGCTCTTTGCCCTGGCCACCGAGGACCTCAGCTGCTGGTTCCCCCCCAATCACGTCTTTGCCGTCGAGGATGCTCACAGCCAGGTTGTGTTATACAGGATCAGGTATGGTGGGGGGGAACATGTCCCACTCCCAGCCCTGGGGGTCTCTGGTGGCTCACAGGAGCTGTTTGCTATAGTGGATGTGGCAATGAGCCCCCTCCCATCTTCCTATCAGGTTCTTCTTCCCCAACTGGTGCGGAATGGGACAGTCCCATCGCTTCCAGCTGCTGAGCGACCGCCCCAGCCCTATCCTGGATTACCCCACCATCGATTACTTCTTCGCCCAGGTGAGCTCTGCTGTGTCCCCATCCCTGTCCCCAACACCTGGGGTTGCACAGACAGATCCCGTGTGGCTTCTTAGAAGTGTGGGACACATTAACCTCAGCACAGTGATGGCCTTTATCACCCTGGGCCATGCCACCCTTCTCCTCCTCCAGCATCCACCAGCCCCTGCAGGGGACACCCCATCACCCCAAGGCCAGCCCAGCATCATGAGGGGTCAGCAGGGGGCACCCCAGCACCCCAAAACCAGCCCAGTGTCACAAGGGGGTCAGCAGGGGGCACCCCAGCACCCAAAACCAGCCCAGCATCACAAAGGAGTCAGCAGGGGTCACCTTGGAAGCTCCCATTAGCTGGAGGGGGAACGATACCAGCCATGGCCTCATGCATGGACCAGGGGTGTTGGGGTGCATTAGATGCCCTGGCTGCAGCATCCCTGGGCAGGAGATGTGCTGAGGTGGGGGGGGTCTGGCATGGGGACTTCTCCCCAGCCTCTGCACCCTCCCCAGTCCCGCAGCGACTTCGTGGGGGGGCGCGTGGCGCTGGCGCTGAGCCTGGCGGCGCAGGAGGAGTACCTGAGCCTGGCGGTGCTGGACATGCTGCGCATCGCCAAGGAGCTGCGCCACAGCCCTGGCTATGTCTTTAGCCACATCAGGTGAGTGGGGGGCTGGGGGCACCCGGGGGGACAGCCCCGCACCCATATGGACAGCCTAGCACCCATAGGGATGGTTTGGCACCTATGACAGCCTGGCATTCATGGTGACAGCCTAGCACCTATGGAGACAGACCAGCACCTGTAGGGACAGCCTGGGACCCATAGGGACAGCTCAGCATCCACAGGGACAGTCTAGCACGCATGGGGACATCCTGGCACGCGTGGGGACATCCTGGCACCCATAGGGACAGCTCAGCACCCATGGGGACAGTCTAGCATCTCTGGGGACAGCCTGGCACCCATGGGGACAGCCTAAAACCCATAGTGACAATCTAGTACCTGTGGGGACAGCACAGTATTCCTGGGGACAGCCTGGCACCCATAGCAACAGTCCAACACCTGGGGGTCCTGTAGGGACACCTAGCACCTGTAGGGACAGCTCAGCACCCACGAGGACAGTCCAACACCCACGGAGACATAGCAGCACCCACAGTGACATCCTAGCACCTCCCCGTCCTGTCACCCCCCCATCCCTGCAGCTACAAGTCGTGCATCCCTGCGGCGCTGCGGTGTCAGCTGCAGCAGCACAACTTCCTCACCCGCAAGCGGCTCCGGCGCCGCCTGGCCAAATCCCTGCGGAGAATGGGGAGTTGCCAGGTGGATGGTCGTGCCCTGAAGCTCAAGTACCTGCTGGATCTGGAGCGTCTGCAGCGCCACTGGGCTGAGGAGAGCTTCACCGTCTGCTCGCCCAGCTCCGCTGCCACCATTGCCATCCACGTGGCTGGCAACAGTGGTGTCTCCTGGAGCTGTGGGGGCTCCGAGGTGCGGATGGGCTGTTCCCGTGGAAGGGGGGTTCCCGTGGATCTAGGGGCATAGGGAACCATCTCTGGTGTTGTCCCCCTGGCAGAGCCACCAGCACTTCTGCGACTTCCCTGACATCGCTGATATCAGCATCAAGCAGGCGAGCCGCAATGGTGGCGCCATGGAGAATCGCATCGTCACCCTCACCAAGACTGACAACCGGGTGCTGGTGAGCACCAGGGGAGTGCGGGGGGAGCCCTGGGGTGTTTCATGTTGCTGACCCCCCCCACCACCCGACTGGCACAGGAGGTGGAGTTCCCCACACTGCGGGAGGCCCGCTCCTTCGTGGCCCTCATTGATGGCTACTACCGACTGACAACGGACGCACACCACTACTTCTGCAAGGAGGTGGCACCGCCGCGGCTGCTGGAGGACCTGGAGAACCAGTGCCATGGGCCCATCAGGTGGGTGCCAGGAGCCTCCCTCGACGTCCCCAACCCGTGAGTGATGAGGGGAGAAATCACCTGGGTGGGAGCCACAGGAACAGCGAGTGCTAGTCACCATCCTGGGTTTGGAGAAGTGGTGCTTAGGCCACTGCAGTGCCTGATGGGTTTGACAACACTGCAATGGGGGAGGCAGAGCAATGGGGGTTCCCACTGTTGGCAGCTCCGAGTTTGCGGTGGAAAAGCTGAAGGCAGTGGGGGGGCGCCCCGGGCTGTACCTGCTGCGCCGCAGCCCCCAGGACTTTGACTGTTACCTGCTGACTGTCTGCGCTGAGGTGAGAGCAACACCAGCACCAACAGCGTCACCAAAACCAACGTCACCAACACTACCACCACCAATGTCACCAAAACCAACACCACCCACTGGGTGCTGTGGATGGCTCCTGGAGCAGGGAGGGTTGGGGATTGGACTAGATGATCTTTTGAGGTCCTTTCCAATCCCTAACGTTCTGTGATTCTGTGAGGGAAACCCGGTGCTGGCAGGGATGGTGCCACTGTGGACACCTGCTGGGCAGGAGGGGCTTGGCGGGCTCCCGGGGTCCCTCACACCGCTGACCCCGTCTCTCCCTGCAGACGCGCTGTGGCCAGGACTACAAGCGGTGCCTGATCCGGCGGGACGAGGATGGGCAGTTCTGGCTGTCGGGGTTTTCCCGGCCGTTCTGCAGCCTGCGGGAGCTGCTGGACACCTACGGGCAGCGGGGGCTGCAGGCGGAGGGGGCCCGCATGCGCCTGGCTGCCTGCTGCCCCCCCTTGCCCAAAGGTGACATCCCCACGATGGGGCAGGGGACAGGGCAGGGCTGTGCGTGTGCCTGCGGCAATGTGACATCACTGAGCGGCTGTGTGACAGCATGAAATGAGCTGTGTAATGTCACAGGGCAGGCTGTGTCATCATAGAGCTGACGGTGTGACGTCACGGAGCGGGTTGTGTGATGTCACAGCTAGCTATGTGACATCACAGAGCAGGCTGTGTGAGGTCACAGACTGGATT